AAAACAAAATATAAGCCTGACTGACATGTTTCCTAAAATTTAAAACAGCACTAAGATCCTCATCTAAGGCTGACTCCTGTTTTCCCACTGCTGCCTCCCTGCACACAGCCATCCCTGGGGGCCTCCTACCAGGATGCAGACATCTGGCCGGTCGTGATTGATGATGGAGATCAGGTCAAGCAGGGGGTCATATGTGATGCTGTCAGATGTGGTGTATGGCCCACAGGTGACTAGGACCATGGTTTGCTCAAGGCCTAAGAAAAGATTGCCAGGTCTTGATTAGAAGACAGGTATCAGGACGGTGGGAGAAGGGAGGATAGTGCCACGGAATCCACCTTATTGAGTCTCCTCTTGCAAGTGGCTCTGGGAATCCAAGATGAGAAAGACCTCACCCTGGCCCTCCAAGAACACGCTACCGGGTGGAGGATGCAGGTAGGGTGCTGATAACCTGAGCTGCACTTTCCAAGCAGTGCAGCAGGGCAATGTGAGGGCAGCGGCAGTCAGGAGGCATTTACTAGGACAAGATGTGCTCATGCAGAGAAGTTTCCGAGAGCAAAGGCAAGGCAGGGTACAGGAGAGCACCGAGCTGTGAGGGCAATCAGAGTTAGGGAGCATGTGGTGCTCCAGGGTGGCTGCAGAACGGCGGGTATTGAAGAGTCCAGAAAGGCAGGCTGGGCTGAGAGCCCAGGGAAGGAGCCTCTTGGGTGCTGGGCAGTGCTGTTCTCTGCCACCTTTTCCCTCCCCTAACCGAGGGCTTGCACGGGCCCAGCTTAGGGCTCTCACACACCCTCCTGGGATCTGAAGTCTCAAGGAAACCATCCCAAAACAGAAAAGGCAGAGCTGACCTCGTCTAGCCGAGGTACCCAGATGACACAGCTGGGGAATCCCTGCCACTTGGACACCAGAGCTGCCAGGCCTGTGTTGGGGTCCTGGGCCTAGGTTTCAAGTCCCTGTCCAGTCAGAATCCTTAGATTTCCTAGAATAAATTCTCATTTTTTTCAAATTCGCTTTTTTTTTTTTTTTTTTTTTGTGGTACCGGGGATTGAACTCGGGTCCTTGCGCTTGTGAGGCAGGTCACCGAACTGCTGAGCTAAATCCCTGGCCCTAAAAACTTTTTTTTTTTTTTTTGGTACCGGGGATTGAACTCGGGTCCTTGCGCTTGTGAGGCAGGTCACCGAACTGCTGAGCTAAATCCCTGGCCCTAAAAGCTTTTTTTTTTTTGGTACCAGGGATTGAACTCAGGTCTTTGCGCTTGTGAGGCAGGTCACCAAACCGCTGAGCTAAATCCCTGGCCCATCAAATTCGCATTTTTAAAAACCAGTCTGAGCCAACTTGTGTAGATTATAAAAACAACAAAAACCAAATATCTGACTTCTTAACATGTTTTGGCTCCCTCTCATTGCTCTAACAAATTGCCTCAAACTTACTGGCTCAACACAAATTTTTTATCTCACAGTTTTGGAGACAGAAGTCCTAAAATTGAGCTGTCAGCAGGGCTGCGTCCCTTCTGCAGGATCCAGGGTTAGAATCAGTGTCCTTACCTTTTCCAGATTCCAGAGGCTGCCTGTGTTGCCTGGACCTATCTTCCAATCTCTAAAGCCAGCAGCCTTACTACTCTCTAGGATTCTGATCTTCCTGCTGCATTTTTTTATAAGGACCCATGTGGTTACATTCATTCTACCTGGATTACCCAGGATAATCTCCCCATCTCAAGATGATTAGTTTAATCACACAAGCCAAGTTCCCTTTACCATATAAGGTGGCATATTCGTGGGTTCCAGGGATTGAGAGGTGCATTACTCAGTTACTTCCATGGTAGTAACACCATGAACCAAGTTGTGTTTGGTTCTGAGGTGCCTATTGGAGATGTAACCCCCAGAGGATGTGTAAGCACCAGAAGGGTGAGGCCCCCTCTTTTTCTGTATCTCGATGAGGTCCTGCCATAAGTCCTTGTATAAAAAAATGTTTGTTAACAACCCATTAAATAGCTTCCAGAGCCAGCGATTCAGCTCAGTGGTGCTGCACCTGCCTCACAAGTGCAAGGTCCTGAGTTCAATCCCTGGTACCAAAAGACAAACAAAGAAAAAAACAACCGCTTCCAGAAGCTTCCCTGGCACACAGCTCAGGCTCCTGGCACCTCAGCCATGTGGATTTCTTTTCATTATTTGAAATCGATCTAATGTCACCATGCCAACTTTGCCCCCACACAACTGTTTTCTCATATATGGTATAATGTCATAAATGCCTACATTTCACTCCTGATTTTAGGTCATCTCAAATGACCTCATACACTATTAACATATTCAGGGTGTTCACAATATACCAGTGTTGGCATCTACTGCAAATCTTCAACATTAAGTTTTCCACTGTGCTTACAAGTACGCTGAGGGGTATTCTGAAGCAAGGTTTGTCAAAATTTCTTGTTTTCCTTTTCCTGCCTAGATCAGTTCCAAATAACAGTAGCCCTTTTTTCTTAGACACCCTTTTTTGGGGGAGCGGGTACCAGGGATTAAACTTAGGACTTTGTGCTTGTGAGGCAGGCGGCAGCACCACTGAGCTAAATCCCTGGCTCCACTTCTTAGACATTCTTTTTAAACAAGATTTTTATTTGGGAATACTTTAAAATTGTAAAAAGTTGCAAAGATAGCACAGAATTCCTATATATCTTTCACCCAGTATCCCCTAACGTTAGCATCTTATGTTAACTATAGTACATTTGTTGGAATTAATACTAGGATGTAACTGTTAATAAACTCCTGGCTTTATTCAGATGTCATTAATTTTCTCTACCAGGATCCAACCCAGGATGCCAATAACCTCTTTTTTAAAGTGCACATCTTTTAAATAGTAGTCTTTGAAGGTGACAAACTTAAACTGCTCACAAGGGCCAGACCCAGTGGTTTGTTTTTTGTTTTTTGTTTTTTTTTTTTTTGGTGGTATTGCGGATCGAACTCAGGACCTTGCACTTGCAAGGCAGGCACAGTGCTACTAAGCTAGCCAAATCCCCAGCCCCACAGTGGCTTTCTGACAAAGGCCCTGCAAGGCCACCAATTGGCTGCATTCACCAGTTCACTCTGAAACAGCTTTTCTAGCTTTCTTGGGCCTATGGAACTGCATCTCTAGAACCCTGGCCAAAACCTTTGCTGTTGGCAAAACAATTCTTGAACAAAAGCTTACCTCCATCCTCTTCGGTGGGCTGATAGAAGGGAAGCGGCACACCCTTCAAACAGAAGAAAAGCTCAGCTAAGGTCACACGTCAACTTGAGGTAAGGAAAGGGGTGAGTACTAGGTGGGGCTTGGTGGCGCAAAGTGGAAGCAAGGAGAGGAGGGAGAGAGGGAAGGGCGGGCCTCTGCCTCACTCTGTGGAGCTAACAGTCCAGAGCCAAAAGGATCTGCAAAGTGCTGAGTGCCAAGGCAGCCCAGGCAACAGGAGTTCACTGGTAAATACTCTCGAAACATCTAAGAACAATCGAGAGCAAGGCAGGTACCTAGAATGTCAGTATGCTTCCAGGCAATGATGGGAGAAAAGGGTGTCCTGCTACTTTTTCTATGACAATCCCCAGAGCAGGGATAGGTAAACTGTAGCCCGAGGGCCAAGTCTACCCATAGCCTATTTTTATTTTTTTTGCTTTGTTTTTTTGTATCGGGGGATTGAACTTGGGTCCTTGTGCTTGTGAGGCAGGCGGCGGAACCACTGAGCTAAATCCCCAGCTAGCCTATTTTTATATACAGACTTTTGATGGAATTCACCATACTTACTTGTTTATAAATGGTCTATGGCTGCTTTTGCACTACAGTGGCAATTTTATCACTGAGATAGGACTGCAAAGCCCAAAATATTAACTAGCCCTTTACAGAAATGGGTAACCTAGAGCTTGGAGGTACGTTCCCACTCTGCAAATAGAGAACTGACTGACAAATAATCAGGCATTTTAGCTGGTTGCGGTGGAGCACTCCTATAATCCCAGCTATTTTGGAGACAGACGCAGGAGGATTGCAAATGCAAGGTCTACCTGGGCAAGTTGGTGAAACAGACCCAAAATTAAAACTAAAAAAGCTGGGGACATAGTTCAGTGGTAGAGTGCTTGTCTAGCATACACAAGGCCCTAAATTTCCAGGAATGCAAAAAAAACAATCGAAAAAACAAAACATGTAGGGACAGTGAGAAGGACAGGGAAAGGGGAATAAGGGAAAAGGAAAAAAATATGAGAAAATGTAAAAATGGAATTAAAGTGTTTGAAGGTGGGGAGGGGAGGAGGGGCTGAAGGGAGGGTGGGGACAAGGGGAAAAAATGAGAACCAAGACCTGGCATGTAAAGGTACAAGATCCCAGTAATGAATGTAACTGTACTGTCTACCTAGAATGTACCAATAAATTCAATTTAAATTAAAAAACAAAAAACAAAAACAAAACAAAACAAAAAACAAGCCAAAACAAGACAAGAACAAAACAGAATAAAACAAACGAATGAACAAAAATTCAAAGCAGAAATGAAATAAACCCCCCAAACAGAGGCCTTTAAAAAGGACCAGTTTCTGCACATATTGTGTCTGCAGCCAAACGTGAGAGGAGGAGGCTGCACTGTACCTCAAAGACTTTGGTGGCAACAAGTTTTCTACCAGTGGTGTTGACTCCTTCCATAATTACAACCTAAAAGACAAAGAAACAGGAGGGTGGCTAAACAGTGAGCTAAATGAGGGGTCTGGAAGAATCTATTCTGATTAAATATTTGTAATTCTAAACTTAGGGTGTCTTTGTGGAAAACAAGTCGGGGAGGGGGCTGTATTAATAAGGAGAATTACGTTCTCCACAAATGATCTAATTTTCACAACAATCCCATGAGGTAAGAATTCTCATTCTCATTTTATGGATGAAGACACCGCGGCTTGGGTTGAGTACCTTGCCCACAGCCACACACTTAGTGGGGTGGAGCAGGGATCTGAGCCTAGACAGTCAGATCCCAGAGCTCCTGTCAGAGCACACAGAGCAGAATCGGAGGTCTGCAGTGGTGTCCCTGGACCTACACCTCACAGCACTGCAGAAGGAAACCGAGCTGCCCACAACACCCTACTCAGGTGTGAACAGTACACCTGCACCTGGCGCAGCCCCCTCTGTCCTCACCTGTCCAGGAAACAGAGAATACTCTTTGAGATCAGTCAAATCCACTGGAATCTGAGCCCCAGAAGAAAGTTCCCGGTCTCCTTCAAGAATCACCGACTTGCTGTTCAGCTTCCCGTTGCTGTCACAGCCAATTTGGCCCAGCAAGGTGATGGGCTCCTACCAAGAGGAGGGTGCCACATAAGAAAGACAGTCTTTGAGATAGGAATGCAACATCGCTGGCCTCAAAGTGACCATCTCACTGCTACCGATACCAAAGGGGGAAGAATGCTGCACGGCATCTGTGCACCTAGCTGTGCCACACATGAGCCCCAAGCGTGCAGGGACCCCTCCAATCCCCAGCAGCTGTGGACAGCTATGGCTTTACAACAGCCCACATTTAGCGAACCTACTAAATACAGGCACTGTTCTAATAGATGAAATGCATTCATTCATTTAATCCCCATACCCACGAGGTGGCTATTGCTGAACCCATTTTACAGATGACGGAATGAGTGGCAGAGAAGTGAGATAATTTAGTCAAGTTCAAACAGTGGGTGAAGCCTAAGTTTGAAGCCCAGAAGTTTGGCTGTACACCACATACCAAACTGCCTTGTAATAGGAAGTTCTTCATTTGACTGAGTTGAAAATCTCTTTTTCTGTGGTTTCCTCTCTCCTGTTCTCACTCTTGGGAGCAAACAGAGGGAGTCTAATCTTCCCCAGGATTGTACCTCTCTGCTCATCTCCAGGACTTCCTCCCAATTCCTCCAAAACCTCCTTAGAGGACAGTTTTGCATGCAAACATATGACAAAGGGAGTCTTAGAGAATACATCTCCCCTTCAAACAAAGAAAAGATCCTAGACTAACTGGCCCATATGCCAGATATAAAGCATGATGTAAAGATGCTATTATCAGGCTGGGGATGTAGCTAAGTGGCACTGGGCCTGCCTGGCAAGCTCGAGGTGCTGAGTTCAATCCCTGGTACAGGGAAAAAAAAAAAAAAAAAAAAAAAAAGCCC